GAGAATTTGTTAATTGTCCAATGAATGAATGAACCATTATATCGTACATTTCAAGTTAAATACTTTAAGACATCTATCTACCTAAAGACATGCATGATCAAAAGATATACAAACGTGTAATAGTATACTTTTTTAGAATAAGATATAGTTTTTTCCGAAAATACTTAATTATATTCCACTATAGTTTCATCACGAACAGATAGGGTCATTCGTTAAAACTTCGAAAAATTTCAACTAAATGACTGAGGAATGTTCTATCTTCATAAAATACTGATAATACTGATAGTATGATTCTGGGATGACCTGATGTTTGAATAAAAAATAAACTGTTATCTTGCTACTGGTCTGACTATTTATTGCAACTGCGAAGATACTGCTACTTGCTACAATGGAACAAGACTAATATGGCTTAATGTAAGAAGGAAATTATTACTGTAGATAAATTTTTAAATCCTAATTATATGAATGAAGAAAATAATTGTTTTAATATTATGGGAATTTTTCAGCGATAAATTATATATATATATATATATATATATATATTCAGAGCATTTAAACCTAATCATAAACTAAAGTGTATTAAAACAAGTATAAAAAGAAGAAAAAAACATCACACAGAATTCGTCATGAAAAACGAGTCAACTCTTATTACCGCAATTATTTATTTATTTATTTTTATTTTGTATTCAATCTAGTATCAACTATGTCTAGACTAATAATGAACTTTACGAATGTTTGACGGTGAAAAAATTTTTCTCAAGAAAAAAATGAATACATTACAAAAAAACTCAATATATTTTAAACTTTGCTGTTAAACAAATGAATTAGTAATTATGAAGTTAACTTTTAATGAATAGTATAAAAATAATATTATTAGTTATATATTAATTTCTATAAAGTTTTTTCTAAAGTTTATTCATTTATTTAGAAATTAATCATAGAAATTAGTTTCTATGTATTTTAATTGAACTAAATAATAGAGAATAGGTTTAATGTAACTTTCTTTTTTAAACTATTGACGTTTCATTTTTATTCAGATTTATTAAATGTACATGTGGTAAGTATTTATGGAATAACTTCTGTTAAACTTCTGTCAACAAAAAAAGAAAATCAGAAAATACTGTATCCACCACTAGATAAGAGATCTAAACTAGAACCATCAAGTTTACATTACAAGTTTATTGAAATCGGAAATATGAATGATTAGATATTAACCTAATGATCTATTTATTAAGTTGTTCTCAGAGAAATCTAGAAGTCATGGAATATATCCTTTGTAGTATAGTGGATGTATATGGCTGAAGAGCTGCATAGTACTAATAAATAGCTACTTAATATTCACATTTAACTTTGTTTTAAACTAATATGAAGGAAAGTAAATATTCTACTAACTGAACCGAAAATTGACGTATTTAAATATAGATTCAGCTACTTTTTTTCATTTAGCATGATTTTACAGTAGAGAAAACCAATACAACCAATACTTTAATTTATCGTCACTTTAAATAGATATGAGTACATTCAGTCTTTTGCACATATTAATAGATCTATGTACATATGTTTATATATACTAATATACGTACAATGGTCTATACACCTTAATATGATCTCCATGAATTATGAAACTAGTAAATAACAAAAAAAATCAGTAAATTATAAAAATAAAAGTTAAAAAAACATTGTGACAAATAAAATGTACTAAATTCACAAAGGTCATACGAAATAAATAACACTACTCAATAGATGTGTGCTAATGTTAAAGTGTTTGTCTGTATTTATACGTGGATGGCTGTGTGTGTATGTGCGTGTGCGCGCTAATACTGTTATCCATTTAGTAACAGTACTCTGTCACTCAATCAAATGAACCCTACGTACATAATATACAGGATTTAGTTTAACTTACAATCAATTAGGTCATTTCTATCATTTTATTACAATTTAAATAGATAAACAAAATGTACTGAAAGTATTTAAGATGACAATGTGCTGCTTATGTCCAATGTTTACTCAGACTATCCTCTCTCATAGATAATTTGTACTTAAATGTTTTGTAGCTTTCAAAAGCATAGCTTCTCGTAGCAGTTGTCTAACGTTTAATCAGCAAGTAGTATAAACTGTTGGGATTGCTGGTTATGACTGATTACTAACCTCCTGTATTGATACAGAAGACTGAATGCATGTAGTCTTTGGTGCCTTCACATATCTAGTTTCCCTTTCAGAGGAATATTAATGATGCATCGTCTATGCACAATACTCCTTCAGAACATTTTGGACAGAGAAAAAAGTTCATGAAAATTGTCTGGGAGTTGGTTGGCCTTAACCAAAAGCTCAGAAGAACCGACTGAGAAAGCTGTACTGAAGACTCCGATTATCCGGGAATAGTCAGCATTGGTGATATATTGCAGCTATGCATGTACAACATCGATTCTAGCTTTTGAAATCTTCCAGGGGTATTTGGAAGCATTAAAATCAATAAAGTACAAGTTCACTGTCACATGAAATATGAGGACATCCAGTTGACAACTTTAAAATAGGATGTAACTCCTATCTAGGACTCCACTCAACTCTATATTGAGGCATTCTAAGCAGGATGCTCGACTAGCAACAGAAACTGATCAATTGAAGTTCTGCATATCAACAAACGGAAATCGCAAACCCATACTAACGGCTTTCTTATGTGATGGTCGTGTAAACGTCTGATAATTAAAAACTAGATTTCATCGCCATTATGTATTACCAGGAGATAGAAAAATAAAAACTCAAATAATATATATTTTGTTGATAATATTACACTCAGAATCCTTAATATACCTTTAATTCTAAAATGAAACCGAAATGAAACACTGTACAAAAAGCTATCAGAGTAGTTAATATGCGTTAGATTAGCGCTCAATTAATGTGACTGGATAAGGTATATAGAAGCTCCGAACACTTGATAGTCTATGTTTTCAATCGAACGAATGCGAAGAATAGCTTTTGTAAGTGTAACAGTTTTATTAATCAAAATTACAGATCATTCACTTTAATGCAATACAAAATGTTGCGGTATAACGGCAAATAAGTACTAGCAATTGGAGACAGTCCCAAATACTACGATAATACTTTAATAAGTAATGTCTTTGATATTACTGATCCTGCCACACTTAATCGTCATCCGCCCAATATAGTCATGTCTAACAATAACGAAATTATGATTATCAAGAAAATGGAATTTCATCCGACTAAACTTGGATTGTTAATAGTTCCAGTATGATAACTATATTGATAATACCATCTGAAATATTATCATGTTGAACTAATTTGAATTTAACCTCTGATTTCCTTAATTCACATTTTATATATAAAACAGCATACAGAAGATTTTATGTACATTTAAATAGTATTTTTAACCTGTTTCATATGAAGAATCGATATCGACTTGGGAATCATATTAAGCTAGAGACTATTGGATAGCTATTTTACCTTAGTTTGTGAGCTTATCAAGGATGAACTAGCAAGATCTGATTATGAATCAAAGTTGCCTCTTCCCTTAATTAATCATTAAAATACCTATGTATATTTCAACTAGTATCTGCCGATTTCATGAAATAATACGTGTTATTAGAGAATTTGTTAATTGTCCAATGAATGAATGAACCATTATATCGTACATTTCAAGTTAAATACTTTAAGACATCTATCTACCTAAAGACATGCATGATCAAAAGATATACAAACGTGTAATAGTATACTTTTTTAGAATAAGATATAGTTTTTTCCGAAAATACTTAATTATATTCCACTATAGTTTCATCACGAACAGATAGGGTCATTCGTTAAAACTTCGAAAAATTTCAACTAAATGACTGAGGAATGTTCTATCTTCATAAAATACTGATAATATTGATAGTATGATTCTGGGATGACCTGATGTTTGAATAAAAAATAAACTGTTATCTTGCTACTGGTCTGACTATTTATTGCAACTGCGAAGATACTGCTACTTGCTACAATGGAACAAGACTAATATGGCTTAATGTAAGAAGGAAATTATTACTGTAGATAAATTTTTAAATCCTAATTATATGAATGAAGAAAATAATTGTTTTAATATTATGGGAATTTTTCAGCGATAAATTATATATATATATATATATATATATATATATATATATATATATATATATATATATATATATATATTCTAGTACAGTTATGGTTTAATTAGTATTATGTGGTATCATAGGTTCTTAAGGTGGGACAAATTAGGTTTCTTCTGTAAAATATATTTATCGAATTTTACTCGATCATAGAATTAAATCAAGTACACGTTATTTATTCAGTTATGGGTCACATGTTAATACGTACATGTAGTGACACTACTTGACTGGTTGAAAGTGGTGTTCATTAACTACTATGCAATATTTTACACTTTTAATTTATGTATGTTTGCCTTGCTATCTTCGGTAATGTTATTATAATTTCGTTTACTTTAATCTGATGGTACATATGTCATTTCATTTAAGTATGATTAGAAAAGAAAGCACAAACATTGGTGATGAGGAATTATTCGTAAATATTATAATCATTATAATAATTTAACATATATTTTAGATGAAGCAGTTTAGTGGAGACTAATCATCAGACTGCATTCGTAATAGATTGATCTCATTTGAAATACAAATGAAAACCATGAAGTACTGAACAGATGTTTTGTCCTAGTATGACCCCCCCGTAAACCGTAAAGTCAAAGTTCACCATCAGGATAAGTTAATTTCAGTTCACCAGGTTGCTAGTAAAATTTAACTCTAAACGCTCTAGTTTTTCAGGCACCAAAAACACAAATTACTGATGATGAAGCAAAAAAGACACCTTACCATTGACTCCAATCCATTCATTGCTAAATACTTGAGTATTAAATTGAAGAAACTAAGCATTGGAAGGTTTGAAACTTTTTACCTATATATTCATGTATTTCTAAAAAGCAAATACTTATATTTTCATTTTTAATTTTCATTCAGGTATTGGTGCTTGTGGTGCAGAACATATGGAAGGAATCGCTTATCCGAATGAAGTATGTTTCAATTGTTTGGTGAAATCTATTGATTTTTTAAAAACACTATAATCCATTAATTTAACCAGTTTAATTTTAATATTTACTACTAAGTTATCTAATTCACTAATTCACATTCAGTTTTTAATCAGTATGATGGAATACAGTATCTATCAGCTCTAAATAAAAAATAAATTACTACCGGAAATCAATACGCTACTGATTATTAGGAGATGAGTCGTACAAACCGAATATCAAGATCCAACCGTTTTCGGCATTTACATTGAGTATCTGTCTCTGAATTAAACGAAATATCGTTTTTGCTTCTCAGTAAGAATACCTCAATAACTAAATTCTTTTATGATTTAACAGGCTTCAAAAAGGCGAAACTATCAAACAAGGTAACTGAAGTTATTCAGTAAATTTCCAGGAAATAACTTTACAAAACGGGTGAAGAGAAATTCATCATTTTTCAAAATAGCTACCTCATCAAAGTTTTAAATGACTTGGATTATCAACATGATAATTAACCTTTTGGTTATTTATTCAACTGATGTTTGTCAAATAGTATCGAGAAAGTAAATGAAATCAAAATATCATGTACGGATTGTACGCGATGCACTTTATACTAAATTAGGTAGTTTACGAATATTAGTTGCTAATAATAACAGCTTCCTTGTTAGTAACTATCCTTAGTAAGGAGTTCTTGGCATTCTAAGAGTAAGCTTTGTTAACTGGTAACATCTGCATTGGCAGTGAAATAATACTTCATAGATGATATTAAATGAAGATTACACATCACTATTCATTTGCAGTCAAAAATTAAAACCATTTCATCCCAAATTAAATAATTAGAGATATCTTGCTGACCGCGAAACGTAAAAGTTCAGGGTTCAAATAAAAGAGGATCTATGGGTAAACCTGTACCATAAAAATGGGTTTTAGTCTTTTCTTATAATTAACCTATTACAAAATAGGGGAAATGAACAATGAGTTCATAATAAAAATGACTTAAAAATACAAAGCATGTACACTTTTAACATACTCAGAAAACTCCACCAATGCTTCTGATGAGTTCCTTTGTCCCAAAAAGAGAAAGTATTCTGTATAGAAACTCATGTATGTTACTCCTTATCACTAAGCTATGTGACTTTTTGTATGGACATCCATATCAATTGTCAGCGTTCAGTCCTTACATACAGTCTATGGAATGACGTCTGTTAACAATCAGTTTGTGAATACAACAAAGTATGTGGAGACTATTTAAATTTTCCGACTTACATAGGCGGATGTTGTTACATGAATGTTTTTCTTACAAATAGATATAAGAACGGATAATCTTCAGTTGATAATTTCTCAATGTGATTGTTTGCGTGAGTTGTGTCTGATGCTCGTGAGGCCTAGCAAAGATGAGGAAGTGAAATTCTGATGAGTAATTGTCCATTTCTGTTTGCATTTCTTTGTTTTATGTCCACTTTTACTCATTTTGACATTGTGTTTTGTACAAGGATGTAAAATGTAATCTTTCTGAGAAATCATACATTATTAAATTATTCAATTATGATGTTTGCACTATCGTTAGCTGGAATGGGTTCAATATTCGGCATTATTTTTGTATAATTTACCACGACGTTGAGATTCTTGTTTAGACTCCAAGCAGTTTGCCTTCAAAGTAAAGCTTTGTCAAATAGAACTCAAACATCCCTTTAATCTCATAATCAGTCCTAAAACTGTTATGTCTTGAATAATTTTATTCCTTCAAGTTTGAAAAATTTATTGCATAATACAGTTTGGTACACTTTTCAACTTTAAGAGATTTCGATTCTTAAGCTAGCATTATTTTGAGACTTTTTTCTTCTCTTTTTTGATTTGACAGGAACTCATTTGTACAGGATTTAACGATTTCGACAATATTGATATTTCAGATATGAGTACTTAGTGTACTCATTAGATTTTTTTCTGGTTCCTTCAAATGTTCAATCATCAAATGATCGACTAACTGACAAGTGTTGTCAAATGATCAATCAGTCAAACACGGCATTTCGATTTCTTAATTGGATATGACTTTCGCAATTTGCGACACTTTACTTTCACTTCGCTTAATTTAAATATATATGCTTGTGTTATTGTAAACAACAACTAACTTTCGTTTTTACAAAGTGAGTAGTATAATTTCTTTTGTGCAAAAAATGAAGGAATACTTTTCACTGATATAACTGGATTTAACTCTTCAATGTGTCGTGAAAAAAATGGAGAAATAATGTAGCATTACTTATAAAAATAACTTTATTTCTATTCTTTACCATAGTTCACTATTATCACTATTAATATTACTAAAATCTCATATTATTAAATTGTATTGTTTGTTGGATATATACACGTTCACACACTATTTGTATTACCACCAAAATAGATTAAGTGCCTTCTCAGCTCCTTTTTCTCTCTTTTACCTTGATTTGCCTTATTATTATGTTTTATGAATTTTTAAATATTTGTTCTATAACGTTCAGGGAAAAACAACTATTACTGTTGGTAATACTAATAGTGATACTATTAAATATTTAATAGTACAACCTTACCACCCTCTTAAACTGTTTCTTTTCCACTATATATCTTGCTTCCCAAATTTATTAATAAGAGATATCCTACGCTTACACATCTACATATGTGCACACACAAATATTTCTTTTCCCTATTTTCCTTTTATATATATATATATATATATATATATATATATATATATATATATATATATATATATATATATATATATAGCATTTTGTTGTAACAGGCATCTCCGTTATACATATGTCTGGTTAATTGACCAAATGGTTGACTGTTGTTCTGTTTTAATAAATAAAACCCACACTCTCATTAATTGAAATAATACATTTGGTACTTTCATATTGATGTTTGACAGAAATATTTTTTGCAGAAGAACAAGTGCAAGTCAGATAACAAATAAACAAAATGGTCAATATATTAGTAATTTCCCGTAATTATTTAATTTATAAAAAACGTTTGTTGAACACGAAAAGAAAACAGAATGTTTCTTTTGACAGTAGTCAGTCTATAAAAAGATTTGAGTGTTAGTAACACATATTAATAACAATGATAATGATACTAATAATAATATTGCTAGTAGTAATAATGATGATCTTAAGAATTTTGAGTAAGAGCATGAATCATTGGACATAGGAAATAACTTGTGACAGAAGTGTTCCGATGACGTGATAACAGACATTGAGTACTAAGATAGATCGCACTTGTACAAAAATGAATCAATGAACAAATGTCTTTCAAATACATTTTTCAGCTTTCTTTTTTTGGTTTGATTCACTGTACTAAAAACTTAACGCTTAACGTAAATACCTGTTTAAATTACTTTAGTTTCTTTAATCTCAGGTCTTTTTTTACGTACGTGTATACACTTAAAAGTCATATTTACATCTATACAGTTAAAGAAAGTTTTTGAATTTCATTAGACTTTTAATTTTTTGTTACATAGCAATTCATTCTTTTACTATTACCCCTTTTGTTTAAATCATAACTGATTATGACACATTTTTTAATTGCTTTAATTTCATTTCTTTTTTCTTCCAAGTTATTCAAAGAACAAAGGATTAACGAATGATACCAAATCTCTCTTTATGATATGACTAAAAGTTGTCTGATGTTTTACTATTTCAACAGATTTCGCTTTTAATTCATCTTCTTTATAAAAAACACCACCCAAAAATGCTATTCATCAAGAGAACCGATACTAGTTGATTTTTCACTCTGTTTGTAGAACTCTGTCGGCATAAATTGATGATAACTATATTCTTTATTTATCTACTTTCCTACCCTCTTTCTTCTTTTTCTCTTGTCTTTTCTTTAGCTAGATATAAGAAAAGTGACCTGTTTTTTTCAAATAAAAATATATTTATACAAATTTCTTTGGCTACACACTTCGTTTTTTAACGTTCACAATAACTACTACCATTTTGTCATTTTGTTCTTTCCTCGATTTTTCCTTTACAAGAATAATCGTTCTGCTTTCATTTTACCTGTACTGTATTGTTCTTTCACAAACGCATACACATTTATATTTACAAAACGTTTCGTTTATTTCCTATGGAACCATTTGTAAGTTAACATGTAATCAATCATGCATCATTATTACTAATAGCTAAGTGGTTAATGAGAACAAGCAATGAGAAAACAGAATCATAGTTCGCATTTTATGTCTCTTGTTCATCTTGTTTATTTATTCCTAGTAATACATAAAGTTATTTATTTACTTACATTGTTATTTATTAGTCCATACCCAGTAGATGCATTTTTCGTTCACATTTTTAGGAATAATAGTAATAATTATTACCCTTCTTTAGAGTTGAACTGTTATCACCAATAACCATTTCATCCTTAGTCTCCGCTAACGAGTAGAATTAGTTTCACTGTTATGTATATATAGCAATATTTTTTTCTCAATTTTTCCTTCCCAGTTTGTTGCTGGTTTGTTCTGTAATTGAATTTGATTGTCATCATAATAATTACTAGTGTTTCCAACTAGTAGTATAATACAATAAAATAGAAATTATGAAAAAGCTTAGAAAGAAGTGGGTTATCAGTTGATGACATTCACATTTTAGTTCTTTAATGTCCTCTTTTATTCTTTTTACATTTATTAATCATTTTAGTCTCTTGTTTCATCTCTTTCTAGAAGATTCATCACATTTAAATACAAAAAAAAAACGGAAACAAGATCTTTCCCTTTTCACCTCTGAGATTCTCTTTGTCAGTCATCATTTTTTAGTTATATTTTCTTTGCAAACTCAAAAATGAATAGTCACTCGCTTGATTGGAAGAATCGTTATGAAAATATATCTTCCTAGTACTACTGGACATTAATATAGACGTCATTTCCTATCGTTACTTTATAATTCTATTCAATTTCCTATATGTTTAATTAGTTTTGTGCGTTAAAAAAAAATGAACAAATAATTGACTTCACCTTTGTGACTGGGATTGACTACTGTCTTTTTCATGGTGAGTTTTTTATACACTTTCATATCCGTCTTCCTATTAACTTATTTATCTACAAGCTGGTTTTCGTCATCTACCTAACAATTTGTCATTTACGAAAACCTTTCAGTAATTTCCATTATCAACGATACAAATCATTACTATTGCTATTATTTGTATTTGTATATAATTACATACTTTCTAGTGTACTTAAGTGTGTTCATAGATTAAAGAGATATTCCTAACTTCTCTTTCTTCAATATACTGATATTAGTGAACATGATAATAGGTTTCATTGGTTCTTTTTTAATCTTTATTAAATAATATCAAGCATGACCATCATACAGTTTATTTAAAAGTTCTTTTTGTTATTATATTCAAGTTTCTTTCATGTAAGTTTTACTTTTTTTCCCAACCCATATACTACTTTTGAGGATTTTTTTTAAAAATTACCTTTCCTTATAGTTGTTTTTATGGCTATTATAGCTGACGTAAATTATAGTGCTCAAAAGTAAACTCAATCAAATTACCCTAGAAATTACATTTTGAACTAAGATTATGTTTATTTGTTTTTTTTTTCTGTATTTGTTCACAATAACTTTAAGATTAGTCAAATTTATGTATATGCTATTTGATTACTTTATAAATGGTGAAAAATTTCTTTTCATTTATATATGTACAGCTATATGTATGCATGAACTAATGACAATACTGATAATTATAATAATAAAGCTTGATTCATACATAATTATAAAATGTTATTCATTCAATTTTTTTTCCTCAATTTAAAACCTACTAACCTTTTTAAATAAACTGTATAAACATAATTTTAAAATATTTCTATACAGCTAACTGTTCAATGTTATTTGGCTGGTTGGCTAGTTGGTTGGTTGGTTAAATGTAATATGAAGTTTCTTCTCTAGTTCTATCTAATCAAAGTATCTTCTCTTTTTTTTGGGTATAAATCATTGTCCTCATTGTACTAAAGTATAATATAAATGGTTTTATATAATATAGTTTCAATTTATTCCTTTTAATTAACTATTTACAAGTATTCAATATTATAAAAAAATATATAGCTTACTTTCATTACATAAACAAATCGCTTCAGACGATCATTATGATGATGATCATAATGATGAAAATATACATTAAATGACAAGAAATTTTTGAATATTAATTCCCTATGTTTTATTAATCAAATAATAAGTTTATTAAGTATCAAAGAAATGTTATTCATTCCTTCAGTTTATATTTCTCCTTTTGGTTAAAATGAAAGCTCATTTACAGTTAAATATCAATATTTATGACTGATTACTACTAAACTTTAAACATTATAGAAGGATAAACAAGAGTATTAGTAAAACTAATACCTGAAGTTCACTTAGCTCAATATGGAATATACAATGTGATATAATAATTAGATACTAAAATCAAACTACATAGTATTCCAATGATGACTTATTTATGAAACAGAAAGGTTTTAAACATTCAATAATTATTGATACAAATTAAGAGTAACCAATGAATTGCAGTATTATATTAAGTATATAAAAATATTTCCTTTATTAAGAGTACATAACTCATTGTAATTGTGAGATGATTTTTGAATCAATGGTGAAATCAGTGATTGTATCTTTTATAGATTTATATATGGTTCAGATAAATTCACATTTGCATTCTCTTTATCTTCCTTACATTGAACTAACCTTATTCTACTGTGACAAGTAGCAAATATCAGTTTCTCTACAATCATAACATGTAGCCATATTAATCACCAATACCAGTATTTTTTCTAAGTTACAACAGAACTGATCAATGAATTCTAAATTAAACAAATTTATCTAAATTATATAATGTACCTGATCATTCACCACTAATAAAACTTCCAGTTTATGAAATTTCAGTGAATTTTATAAAATATAAGGTATCGGATAACAAAGTACTTGTGTTTCAGTAAATTTTAGTTTTTCCATGGTCAGTCAGTCA